TGGGACTTGGTTAAGAGATTTCCTGCTTTTGACCTTGAGACAAGGTCAAATTTAAGTGGGAGGGATTTGTCAGGTGCTGGAAGTCAGCGGTTTCCAACCAGCAATGGGTTGGCTAAAGGAGATAAATATTCAATTTATACCCATCGATTTTTGGTTGAGAATCGTGTCGCCCGACGCCCGCTCACATGCGAATGATTCAGAGACGTTTTCCCCTTGGTGATGTTTTGTCAGGTGCTGGAAGTCAGCATGAAGTGAATCATTTAATAGAGAAGGAAGCGGAGACTTGGGAAGCCGAAGACTTGGCCATCCAAGCTGAAAACAGGAAACAGGAAGTGAACCTGTAAAGGATGGGAGGGTGGAAGCTGGAGACGAGAGTTGAAGTGCTGCACAAGACCTGGAGTTGTTATGCAATGCTTTAGTTTGTAATAAATACTGTTAGTTAGTTGAGAACAGAATTAACTGTTTCGGTTAAGAGTTGTTACTGTGTGTGCACGTTTGGTGCACGTTTCTGCTCTTAATTTTGACAAGTGTTGTATAAAAGGAGAAGTTGTAACTCTGAATAGGATTATGAATGAAATTAGTTGTTCTTCTTTCAACTTACTCTTATCTTCTATCTCTAAACTCTCTCTTTCTCAACTCTCTTCATCTCTTTCATCTCAAATTTCCTTGTATTCTGTTAGGAGACTCTTATAGTTCTAGCCATGGCCAGAAACAACAATTTGAGGAGCAATCGAGGCTCACGAGCCTCACATGTTTACTTTAAGAAAGCTGTTTGGTTCAATTTCTATAAAAAAGAGGGAAAAAAGTACTCAAATTTTAATTTCCTTGTATTTTTATAAAATTTATAAGAAAATTTTATAGAACTTAAAGAGTACCATATATTTTTTTTACTATTTCTTTGTTTGGTTCAAAATATGAAAAAGTTCTAAATTTTATAGAAAATATGTTATTTTCTTTTTCTTTTGTTTGGTTGGATATCACTTTATAGAAAATAGCTTACTAATAGTGTCTATGAGAAATCACATGAGGATGGTACTGTTGTACTTAATTAAAATTTTAATATATGCGTCAGATTTTCTTATAATTTCCGCCCATTTAGAGAGGAAGTTAATTTTTGTAAAATAGTACACTTTTCCTTACTTTATAAAAAATATTTCTATAATTTTTTTAGAAATCAAACACAGTTTATAGAAATTTACAGAAATCTATTATTTACGATAACATCATTATCAGATATTTTCTCAAATTTTTTTCATAAAATAGGTAAACCAAACAGCCCTGGGATTACTTGGTTCACATGGAAATTCAAGAAGGGGAGTTTCCATGAAATGCAACGTCACGTCACACTAGCGCAAGAAAAAACAAATTCCAAATCTTTTTTATTCTGTTGTTTGTTTGACCTTCTAATTACGGATAACTCCCCTTGAAAACTTAGAAATATTAGAATAAAGTAGTACCTTGCATTTTTTTAGATTCAAAATAAAACTGTTTTAAGATCGTCAAGAAACAGGAGAATCATGGTAAACAAAATTGTTACAACAACGGCCCAAACAAACCAAAAATCAAAAATAAAAATTAAAAGAATATAAAAATCAACACCAGGGATAATCAGAAGAACAACTTTTTTTTAAGTCCATCAAAAATAATAAGCAACTAAGGGCCCGTTTGGATAATGAAAGTATTAGAAGTAAGAAGTAGATTATAGAAGTAACTTTCAAAGCTATGAAGTAGGAAGTAGTGGAAATAGCATTTTTTTGTTTGTTTCGTATATTTTTAGAAGTAATAGAAGTAGAACTTCTTCCTCTTCATTTACTTTTTTTATTTGGATAACATTTGAAAATATTACTAGGAAGTAATTTTATCAATGAAAAGTTGTTAGAAGTAACTAATAAAGGAAATATTAATAAAAAAATTATTTATGCCCTAATTAATATGCATTTCAACTACTTCCGAGCTACTTCTGAGTATTGAGGATTGGAAAAATATTTTGAAAGTAAGGATGACACGTAAGCGCCACATAAGCATTTAGAGAAGTATTGGAAGTAAGTTTTTCAGAGAACCAAACATACTTTTTTTGCTTGGAAATAACAGAAGTAGCTTTTACTTCTTTTACTTGAGCTACTTCACAATTACTTCCGTGCAAACAAACAGGCCCTAATCCAGAGGCAAAATGTAAACTTACGTCAATTTTCCTCGAAGACGTCCTTTCCGCTTCCCCATCGCCCTTTCCGCTTCCGCAATTAAATCAATTTAGGGTTTTATCTTTTTCCTTTTTCTTCGATTTTTCACTCATAGATCAGTGACTGGCGCCTTTCCCCTCTTTTTAGCAAAAACAACAAACAAATAAAAAAAAACTTTTACTTGCCTCCTCGTCGTCATCGTCGTCATCGTCGTCGAGTTTCGGGGTCGGGCACAGTATCATAGATCGGAGCTCATCAAATTAGGAGTCGGGCGACATTAGTGGGTTTTTATGGTGTTATTTGGTTTGTGAAGATGCGGCGACCAGATCTCATCAAATTAGGGCGAAATTCGACTTCCCTCTCGTAGAAAAGATTCAGCTGCTCAGCACCTCATCAAGAATTAAAGATTTAATTTCTTGTAGAAAAGCTTCATTCTCCTCTTTCTGATGTTGAGGCAGTGAGATATTAGGTAATAGGTATATATCCCTAATTTCAATTATCTCCCTTTTAATTATTTTAATTTATTTCATCAAATTTTAATTATTTTCTTTGAAACAAGTAGAAGGTTTTCCATCAAGATTGCAGAAGCTAGGCCCTCTGTACGTCGTGCCCTTACTTCCACTAGTGTTGTTCCAGATCTTAGTGGTAAGCTCGTTCTCTTGTTATTTGTGGTTAATTCAATTTTTATCAGAAAATGCTTAAACATTTTGGCTAAATAGCTTTTTAGTCGATGGGGTAGTATTAAATCATTTTTTTGAACCCAGTATTATAAAATTAAATCAATTATTAGTTTCTTCTGAAGATTAAGTAAGAGGCCCCGATTGAAATTTAGAACCAGGCCCCTAAATTGTCAGCCACGCCTCTGAACCAATCAAATGTGCGCATCGGGCGAATGGTCCAATTAAATATTATTATAAATTCAGAAATGCAGAAAGAGTGGCTCTTCAAATAGGGAGCATGTTTTTTAAGCTTTTACCACTGAAGCCATTTTATAGTCTGGTTGGGTATCAACTACTATTGCATCAATAAAATTAACAGCCACGAGCAGAAACTGACAGGAAATCAAGAACGTCAACCGCCACGACATGTTGGATGAGAAAAACAAGAAGTCTATCTTCATGCTGTATGTAAAAGTCCCTGCTTCACATATAATCCCCTGAAAGATTGTACGTTACCACAAAATCTCTGTCTACGACTATAAAGCCCTGAGAGAGATTATCTGAAATCAATTTGCTACACACAGGCAATTTAGCACAGCCACCATCATCTATAAGCATTTCTAATTAGAGTAGAATCAATAATCAAGCACCAATAAACTTTTTTTTTTAAAAATGGAAGAATTTAAATGAGCTCTACAAAAGAATTAAACAAGTTTTTTTCTGTGTCTGATTACAGCAACTCAGTGTGAGTGATCTAATATACGCGCTAGAGTAACAAATGGTATTGTTAACGGGTTTGATACGATAAAACAGGAACATGATTCTCCACAGAAAACACTCCACTAACTACTGTTTATCTAATGAAAACTTGAATTTGCTAGCCTAGAGAATCTAGAGGGGTAAAAATAAAATTTTAACCCTGGTAATCTGTTTACTTTGTGGACTTTCCGAGCAAATGGAGTGACCATTTTAGCAATCAGCAGCATCAGGTAAAAACGAATGGAGAAGATCAAAGCAACCAAAGATTAGCACTTCAAACCCCCCCAGATAAAGAAGAGTAAACTACTCTAAACAGGCAAACACTAATTTTGCTCAAGAACATACAAAGCTATCTTCCTTCAATAGGGCAACAAAAAAAAAAAAAAAAAAAAGCGAAAAAAATTAATAAGATTGCACGTACGCTGCCAAAATTTTATGATGCAACCCTAAAGATCAACCAAGGCACACAAGCATGTTGTGAGAGAAATGTATGACAAGGTGAGTAACAATGGGAAAATGGGAAACCCAGATCATCAGGTTACAAGCTAATTTCTTTTTCTTTCAAATTTGAACCCTAAAGCTCATACAACTCTACAAAGACGATCATTTTCCCGACTATCCTTGGCCCAAACAATACCAAGTATACCTTAACTTAATTGTGCAACAGAGCCATATGATGCATCATCGCCATAGAAATATTAGCTTTTAAACATATCCAAAACTGTTTACAAGTAATAAAGTTTTAATCATTACTGAATCTTTTTTTTCATTCACTTAATTAATAACCTGTGGATATGCTTAATATAATGTAACTTATGTGCATTTACAGTTAAAAGGAAGATTTAGGTATGTGTATACTTTAATACATACATACATACCTACCTACCTACATGTATATATATGTGTGAGTGTGTGTGCGCGTGTACGCCTTAGAACTTGCTTGACCTGTTTATACTTTTCAAGGTCATACAGAAATTACATAGTTTGATTCTTTTTGTTCTTGTTCCAAATTTTGTGTTCCATTAATGACGACAAAATGACAAGCGTCCAAACCATTGTGAACAACAAATTTATTGAAGAAAAGCTATTGTTTATGCCCTGGAGTCGTAAGTACAGGCTTTGGAGTGTGATGCAATAAATTGCACTATTTTGTATGCAGGTCAAGGTACGGACGGTATTTAAACAAATATCGGACGTCCGGTTTGAATACCTGGTGGGTGTTTAGGAGCAAGTTTAGTGCTACATTGGGACGGTGAAGGGAAAATGGTTAAATAATTTGGATCCAAATCAAGTGGGTGTTTATGTCTTTCAGGCTCTTTTGAGCCCCCCCAGCCTAAATAAGATGAAGTAAAAAACGTCTGTCTAAATAAATGATTATTAAATGTGCCGGAAACTTTGAACATTCAAATCAAAGATGCAAAACTTCATCCAAACAGATAGGTAGATAGGTTCTGAATTTCAAACAAAAATAAACATTTGATAGATTGATAGCACCATGGAAAAAGGTTAAAGAGTAAATTGGCCAAGATCTCAATGGAAAATCATCTACACAGAGCCTGTAACTGGATGAACTTTACAAAACTTCACCTACATCGCACGTTTTAAGTTATCCAGCTCCGCATGCATTACACGAACCCCAACGATAAGCAGACTCCTCCATCTATGCAAGAATTTTTTCAGACATTGTTTCAGCTGGAAAATCCTCGTAACCGGAGATGCCAGTTATCCTGATCCTTGTGTTTGGCTGCAAAAGATCAACATCAATGAATGTTGCAACCATCCTTCCCCCCACCCAAAACCACACACCCACACCCACACACAAAAACCAACAGAAAGAGAGAAGAAAAGAAAAGCAGGAAAAGAGAAGCAAACCAGTCAGTGGTCTACCTGCCTATGACCTATGTTCCTCCGGTAGTTCTTTTTCTTCTTGTACTTGAAAACGATCACTTTTTTGTCCAGTCCCTACACAGAAATTCGAGGAAACTAAACTCTAAGAGGGTTTTTGCATCTTAAACCACAGTAAACAATGACGAATGATACCTGCTCTTCAACCACAGCATGTACTGCAGCATTAGTTACTACGGGCTGTCCAATATATGCTTTTGTTCTAGTTCCAACAAGCAAGACTTTGCTCAAGATTATCTGCGAGGGAAGTGAGAACTTGATTAAGCGTTTCAGATATTAAGCAGATTAAGTTCACCATAAAAATGAGACTACAATATACACTATAATTAAATATAGATTTCTTTAGACCAATGAATGACCACTATTATCCTGCTGATGCATGCCAACTACAGGAGGACAAAGGTAAAAACCCTATAACCTATGATGAATGGGTACTAACTATTTGTATCCGTGTCATTCCAGTGTACCTAACACCGAAACTTCAATGGACACTCCTTACATACAATTATTCAAATGTGTACTCAATTTTTTAATACATGTTTTAATTAAAATACTTGACATATACTACATGGGCCTATATCCTACACTTTATATGCAATTCTTGAAATTTGTGGGACATATTCTGGTTGTTTCAGTCCGTATCCGATTTAAAAGTATGATTATAAAGGCTCTTTTGGATATCGAGTTAAAAAAATGAGTAATTTTCTAATTTATAGATATATATTTTGAAAGAAGCATATAAATGTTACAGGAATTTTAGTTAATAGCACGTGCAATGTTTCAGAAGGCTAGGTGGACTAAGCGTTTGAGCCAACGCCTAAAGCGTAAACGCCTACGTGCTTGGCTATTTTTTAAATTATTTAATTATAATAATCGACAAAAATATGCATTAAATTCATATAAATTTGCCAAACAAATAGATAGCAATCTTAGCTTCATAATGAACCATGCATACTTCAATACTAAATAGCCAAAATAATAACTAAGAATGTTATAGAGAGCGCTAGGAGTCCTAGGCGTTGGACCCGAGGCCCGGAGTCTAGGATATTTTCCTTTTTATTTTTTAATTATAATAATTTATAATAAATGTTAATGTTATAAAAAGCTTAGGTGTCGGATTGGTGTCTAGGCGGATTTCTTTCTTCATTCAAGTGATGGTCGAGGAGGTTTTGCTAAAGTTCGCAGGAGATAGTGGAGATGTTCATTTTTGGAGGTTAAAGGAGTTTGAAGGAGTTTGGAGGACGTGTGGGCTGCAACACAGAAAATCACGATTAAGGACTAAAAAGTACCGTCCACATAAGAAGACAAGCTCCCCTAATCACTCCCAAAACCTAGACCAGCAGCTTAGATATCGCCAGACGCTATGCGCTAGTTAGGCGGCCTAGGTACCGCCTATTTGTAGGCGTACGCCTAGGCGGACTAGGCGGGGAGGCTTTTTAAAACAGTGAGCACGTGAAATGAAAAAAATAATATTGACCTAACAAAAATTGTTAATGTACATACATATGTGTAGCTATGTCCATGTACCCTACATTTTATAAATTTGTTGTGTCATGTTTTGTACCTGCACTCGCAACGATACCCTTGTCACTTAGCCTATAACACAACTCAACTCCTTAGACAATTCACTTAAGTGGTATTACTCAAGGGATCAAAACACCCAAATTAGATTTACACAACTATTCCTTGCTAATTAAGAAGACAAGTGACGGGGAGTGGGCGGAGGGCTTCGATCTGAACATGACTTCGGACTAACGATAACTTTCGTTGGAAACTTATTGAACAGCGTGGTACAACTAGCGAACATGGACAACATCGAGGAGGCACTAAACAGTAAATAAGTACTGCTCATCGACCAACATTAATAGTGACGTTGTTCATCAATGAATAGTAACAGTATTGTTGTTCACCCTTTAACAGTAAACTCATTTTGGGAATATTAGGGATTTTTTTTGGGCATTTTCAATTGAGTTGGATGTGGGGGTTCTTATGAGTGGCTAGATGGCTAAGATGTTTGCGAAGTGGGTTTTACTTAAGGTGTATTATAATTGGAGGTCTAGGATAACTTCACAGCCGAACAATAGGCTTCACACCCACACCACTTCACATACCATACACAAGCAATTCCAATGCTTTTGGAGAGTTTTCAAAACTCAAATTTTATTAATCAAGGTCTATCCATCATGGAGGATTACACATCTTATCTTATTTATAGGAAAAGAAAGCATCTAAACACTTAAGGAAATAAAATTCTAATCAAATCAAAACCTAACGAAAGTAAAAGATACAATCACATAAAATCCTAACTAAATTAGAAAGATATCTCAACATCAAATCTTAAAGAAATCCTAACTAAAAAGAACATTACATATAAAATAAAATCCTACCGAAAAAAGTAAAGAATCTATAAAATCCTAATCGCATTTGACGAAGGGTTAATGTTGTCCTGCATAGGGTCCTCAACCGTATCCATATCTGAAGAAATATTCATAACCATATCCATTAGGATACAACCGTATCCATTAGGATGCGGATATGATCACTCAAACCTATAACCGATATACGGATATGATCACTCAAATCTATAACCGATTGGATATGGTTACAGATATGGTTTTGTAGTAAAACATCTGAACCGTATCCGAGATGGGTAAGCGGATATAGATATGGTAAGTATCATATCCGAGCTGTATCTAGACCGAATGCACCCCTACATCAACAACATTTGTGAATGATAGGTATCAAGAAGGTGGCTAAAGAAATCCTTCAAGAATGAAGAATCTAAGGGCAATATATAGCAATATATAGTCTGCTAAAAAGACTTTTGTTCAAAAAATGAAAAAGTTCAAAAAATAACTTCAGCAAAGAGAGCATTCTATAAAGATTGGCAGAAGTGTAGGAAGTAAAAGGTTTATCTGCACTTTATTATCCTAAAGTTTCACCTTTTTCAACCTTGATCACATGAAGTTCTATTCAATACACCAAAGCGTGAAATAGTTGACGGGAAAGCAAAATTGAGCAAGAAACAAACTTTTCTTACCAAATTTCAGTTTTTTTGAATTTGGGAAAAGTGAGGAAAAAGTTAGTTTTTTGGCATATTGAATAGACACTACATAGGATACCCATACACACACATATATATGTTTTTGGCATATATATATGTGTGTGCGTGTGTGTATGCACCTTAGATTCAACCTAAGGTAGCGCCTTCAAAATTACATTATATGCTATCAAATTACTCAATCCACTCCTTTCAACTTGATTTATATGTTTTGGATTGTATACAAAAGAAAAAATTAGGCAAAATGGGTTGTAGTTACTCAAGTAACATGTGATTGTAAAATTAACGGTTTTACAACAATATAAGTAAGGAGACAATAAAAAATATGTTAGTCTATGTTTTGTATGTCATGCTCTTTTCTTATTTGTCTTATGTTTAAAAAGATTTCAATTAAAGTCGTAAATTTTATCATGTGATTTTACTAGGTTTTTAGTAAATTTATCTTGATTAAGCTCCATTTTAAGTTTTTTGTTTCAACAAGGGCAATTTTGCTTATTTTGAGTATTTTTGAAATATTATATATTACATCTCGTACATGATGTCTTATTATATCCTAAAATTTAAATATAGCAGATCTTGTTATCTAGGATATGATTGCTGATCTTTTTGAAATACTAGAATTACCGAAGGTTGTGACTGTGATCCATTTTTGTGCACATATTGAGATGATCATTGATATTTTTTAATCCTCAACGAATTCGTAATGTGAAAAATCAAAAAAGAGCTTCAGTTAAGTACTTACTAAAGATAGATTGGTCATATTTGACGCACATGGCTGATCCACTCATATTTCATTGTGTAATACTAAGAGACACGACTGAATTTTATGTACTTCCTTATTTTTTGTAATTAAGGATCAAGATGCACAAATTAAGCTTATTATAGTTATATCTTCAATCCTCACACTTTATGGAGTCTTTAATTTCAGATAAGTAAACCACTGTTTGGTATTCATGTATCAGGTTAGAATTGAAACCATCCATGTATCAGGTTTCTAATGTAAAGGACTACTTGGTATTGATTTCAAGCACAATAATATGAAATTAAAAGCATATTTAACTCATACGCACATGGCCCCCCCAATTTGTACTATCTTCATTCTAAGATTACTTTAAAGTGTCCATCAAAACTAAAATGTTATTCCCTCTCAGGACTATCCTTTAATAGCACTATATCCCACCACTCACCTTGCATTTATTGGCATTCAAAACTTTATACCTTTGGGAAGGTCGACTTAAGATTCAATAAACTTAACTTGTAATGGCAGAATGTGTATTTGTCTAATGATATACGTGAATTATATAAGTGAATTATGAAATGTTTATGCTTCATGCAGGGCCAGCTCATAAAGAAATATTAAATAATTTTAGAGTGTTCCTTCATGGTGTTAGAACTTTGGCAGGACATGGTATGATCCCTAAAAATTCGTACATCAGTGTCCTTACCAATTATACAACTAGTGGGAAATTCATATAGTAGTTCAAGACAAAATTGCTTTCACTATCTTTATTGTATTGTAAAGACATACAATTACTTTTCCATATTTATTCTATTTCAGAGTTTTTCTCTCTATTTCAGATTTTTTTTTCCTTATCTGTGATTGTTGGTGACTATAAAATCTCTATTGTCTTGCTTAGATCTTTGAGTATTTGGGTTCATGAGTTATTTGTAAGGTTAAATTTAATAGCTTGTGGAAGGTCAATATTGTTCATGATTGCTTTTGATTATTGTTTAATCACCTAACTTTTGTGAGGTATCATAGTTTGATATTTTGTTATTAGATGTTTAGAGGAGATTGTAGTTTTATTCATGATAGTGATTTTTGTTGCATCGTGTTTAGTCAGATCATGGTTATTGTAGTTTCACAAGGAATTTTCCGTCAGATTATAGTTATTATAGCTTCGCAAGGAATTTTTCGATATTATCTATTTACTTTTTCATGTTTTGAAATAAATCCCTCAACCTCTCAAGTCATTGGAAATGTTCTTGTGTCCAATAATTTGTGCTTTTCACGGGTCTAAATACATTGTCATAAAAATTAATATTGATTAGAGATTTCTAATTACAATCCGTGCTTTGTATGGGCCTAAAAACTAGTATGTTTTTATCTAGATCACTTGTTATACACTTCTTGGACATATATACTACACTTCACATCCATTTCTTAAAACTCGGTAGAATTGGTTAGATATGATTCGACCCATTCCAAAGTTCAAAACTAAGATTTTCAAGGGTCATTTGGATGCCTATTAAAAACCAAGCAGTCTCCAATTTATAATAATCAATATAGCAAAAGAAGTTGAAAATGTGAAAGAAATTTCAGTTATGTATGTAAGTATATGTATGTATAATATATATGCATGTACGTATGCATGTATATGTGTGTTTATGTATGTATATATGTATATATGTATATATGTATGTACAGTTGTGTCCCCATACTCCATATTTTAGGGACTTTACTGTGTCCCACCCACACTTGTACTGATACCCAAACTTATTTCCAAGTAACTTAGACAGAAACTAAACATCTAGCAATCATGAAAGGAACAGTGCGGGCCTGTTTTACATCAACTTTCATTTTAGAATAGGCATTCACAAAGAACAAGTGTATATCCGGAGTTCAATCTTTGAATTACAACATTTTCCCCATAATCAAATTCCTAGATCAGCAACAGATAACAATCAGCATATCCAATTGTCCATCCAGTAAACTTAGATGACAAATTTAACTGGAGCTCACAAACACAGTTAAGAAAAAAAAAGTATTAGCCACATACCTTATCATTCACATTAGCGCCTTTCAGCCTCTGTGTGTAGATAAAACGTCCTGGAAAAACAATGTATTGTCGGGACCCTATCTGATAGAGGGGAAGCAGATCACAAAAGTCAAGACAAAATTCAATGTTGCAAACAACTGAGAACATGAATAACCCAAAATTGGAAAAAATTAGGAGAGAACATGTTAACAAAGCTTAAATTTCAAAAGAGCTTGAAATTCTGCTGGAGAAGTGTGTACATTGTGCATGAAACAAAACCAAACTGCGAGAAAGCACAAAGATCAAGGCGAAGTTGAGCTTAGAAAGGAGACTAAAAGCTTAACAAGCGACAATGTACAATGTTGTTTCACAACAAATTGAGTTAAAACTTATTCCTAAGGGAAAATTCGAGTTAAGAGGTTATATACAGATTGCAATTCATCAACAATTACAAAATTGAGAAGCAAATGTGTTGAGATGCTAAACCGTATAAAATCAAATTTCAAGATTTTCAAAAAAAAAGTTCAGTATAAGAAAGATAATATAGGAAAATTAAAGTGGTTAGCAATTATGGAACTACTTAAAAGAGCTGCATGAATTAGAAAAGGTAGAATCTTTATTTAATTATTACTAGTATAATGTACGCGCTTTGCACATGAACGAACATGTTTTAAGTTTTGAATTCTTTACTAAATAGTAAAACCATGTTAATAAATAAAATTGTATAATAAGATTGCTTTAAAAAATGTATAAATAAATTATTATTGTGTAGTTATTGTAATTGAATGTTTTTCTTATAATGATCGCCCAGTGTTAACCTTTTCTTAAATAAGTCCCCAAATCTAAAACTATTCTTAAATAAAACTACCAATTCTATATGTTCTCTTAAATATGTCCCTAAAACTTTAAAGTTATTAACTCTCTAAATTAACTAAGCTGCATTAATTTTGTCAGCTTTTTCCTGATGCCCCCTAAATAGTTACACTTATACTTACAACATATTGCAATATTTATTTCTCGATACATTTATTTAATAGGGTGAATTACACTAAACTTTTATGAACGTTTAGCCCATATGAACTTTCAAAATTACACTAAGCCCCTAATGACTTTTCTGTTTCAAAGAAGAGCCCCGATAACTTTCTAAATTTTACAGATAAACCCTATAAATTAGAACCAAAAAATGGCATAAAAAGCCATTTTGAGATTTATTGGGGGTTTGGTGTAACTTACCTAAAAGACATTGGGGGATTTCTACGAAAGTTATTGGAGGTTTAGTGTAATTTCTAAAGTTCACATGGTCTATTTACTGCAAAATGTTGAAAGTTCATGGGGGTTTACTGTAATTTACCTTATTTAATATTATAATTCTTAGTTCAAGTAACACTATTAAACTAATTATACTATCTATATACTATAAAAAATTTATCTAATTTAATTTTTTTAAATTATGCTCTTAAAGATTTAGTACTATAGATATTTTATAAACTTTTATTATACTACAATTAATAATTAATAGTACTATTATTAATATTAAATAAGTTTTTTGTAAAAAGGTTAGTTTCAATCGTTACCAAGTACAAATTATTCAGTATCATATAATAATCTTTGAGAAAATACTATAAAAATAATATTAATTATTTACTTAATTTATTTAATAGTATAATACTACATAAATAGTGTAATTCGTAATTTATGTGATATTATTAAAATAACTACACTATTTATGCCGTTCAAAATTTATTCTATTTATTTTATTGCTCATTGAATTATAGTATAATTCTTTATAGTATTTAGCAATATACTATTCTATTTATACTATTATTTATTTATTGATTATAATTCATAAACAATTATTATAACAGTTTAATTGGTTACTACTAATAATTGTGTATGCTTATTATATAAATTATTTTACTTTATTATTTTTAAATACTGATAATTATAATTATTTAAGGGGTTATATTTACTTAATGAAAGATTAATTAACGATAACGGCATAGTCAGAATTTATCAAATTTAAGAGGGCAAAAAAAAAAAAAAATGTCACCATTACAACGGCAAACACATCTTCAGATAGTTTCCAAGCGTGTGTTTGTGTTATAATTTTAGCGATAACGGGTTAAGAAACGTCACCATTACAACGGCAAACACATCTTCGGCTTTTGGGTCCCCCCCGGCGCGAGTTGGGCCTCGACGGGGCGGAGGGTCCGAACCCCAGCGATTCTCCGTCGACTCTCTTCACGCGCCGACGCCTTATGGGCGACGGCAAGCGGAAGTCTAATTTGGGAGGAAAGGAGAGCTTGGAAGAAGAAGAAGAGAATAAGGATTTGGAGGATGGGAACCGAGGCGGCGGCGGCGGTGAAGAAGAAAACAACCGAGCGGTGCTCATCATCATGTTCAGGCTCAAAGAAGAAGAGGCCATGTGCGTCGACTCTACCGCTCCCCCCCACCTCCCTCCCTCTTCCGACGCCAATATCCAACCGAGTGAAGTAACACAGGCTTTTTTCTTCACCTTATCCTCCCCCCTATCCTATCACTCCCCTGGGCTGGCCTTGACCCAAATAGAGGCTTTTTTGAACTTTTGAGTTATTAGACGGCTTCCGCGATAAGCCCAAGGCCCAATTCTGAGGTAAAGCCACGGGCGAGCTCGGCTCACCGTCACGTGTACATCAGCCGCAGCAGAGTAACGATTTATAGAAATTAGGGAAAATTTGCAAAATAGACCATTTTTATGAAATACATAGCGAAATAGACCACTTTGTAAAATAATTAGCAAAATAGACCTCTTTTGAAAAAAAGAGGTCGATTTTAAAAAACAAGGCTCAGAAAACATACGGGACTACTAGTCCCGTATGTTTAGAGCCAACTAATCACGGATTAGTGACTCAGAAAACATACGGGACTAGTAGTCCCGTATGTTTTATGAGTAGAAAATTTTACTAATCCGTGATTAAAACATACGGGACTACTAGTCCCGTATGTTTTCTGAACTGTTTTGTAAAATAGACCTCTTTTTGGCCTGTTGGCCAAAAAGAAGTCTATTTTGCTAATTATTTAGCAAAATGGTCTATTTTGCTAAATAATTAGCAAAAACAGTCTATTTTGCAATTTTTCTCTAGAAATTACAAAGCACACCACCACACATTGGATATGAATACGAGTATTGAAATAGACATGAAGATGATCAATTATTGACTATTAAAAAAATCTCAATGGCACCCGTACAAGTACATCCAATGCAAGGTGAGAGAGAAGGTCGTTATCCAAAGTGATGGGATCGTCCGACACTACCACATCACCAAAGTTGTTAGAGCCTCGAGACCGTTTGTTGGAAAAACTAACTAGAATTACTACCATGAAACTGAAAATAAGCTTTCAAGATGAAAGGAAACTTCTCTCGGTGTGATCAAGGTAAGTGAATGCACTGTCCTTAAAGATCGAGTAGATTTCGCCCCTCTAAAAGTATCTCTTGGTGCAGCTGGTTAATGGCGGGATACCCTCCACGATTCAACGAATTTTTACCTATATTTACCTATATTCAAAAAAAAACATAGTTCTAATATAGGTGAAAAAAAGCAAATATAAATTCAAGCATTGCTTATACTAATATCGGTGAAAATATTTACCTATATTCATACTCGAAAAATAGTCTCATGGTTCTCCTATACCGTTGTGCATGCAACCTGTACAACGACCGATCTACTTAGAGCAAAGTGCTGTCACCTGACACCACCTAAAATCCTAAACACCTAAGCCCATTAATAATTAAAGAAAAACCTCACCCTAGCACAACTTATTGCCCAACTGCAAATCATCCCAACTCCACTAAATAACCTAATGAGTCATTAATTGTATAAAATTTTATGGTCATAAAGAAGATTAGAGAATTACTAGTTGGGGAAAGAGATACAAGACAGCAGTGGCTAGCCGAGGGACTAGATTATTTACATTGTGATGGTAACAGTACTCAACCTACTGTGGTGGTAACATTACTCAACCCACAAAGATGTGAAGTCATCTAACGTCCCTCCTCTTTGATGACTTTGAGCCTCATGTTGGGATTGCATGCTACAAATTTATATTTTAAGTTATTAATGTTATTTTATGTATTGAGTTTAGGGTTTTTTTTGGGGTTTCTAGGATTGAGATTGTTTGATCTCGTTGCAGACTTGATTTTTTGCTCACAATTGAAAACTCTTTGGTGGACATATATAAATTTTTCTAACCATTATTTATGTTGTGACACTAATTTTTAGAAATTCTGAATCTGCCACTGAGCGCGTATATGCACCTGCAGTGTACGTGCCACAACTTCCAAAGTATATACATTCTTAATTAAGGAGACAGAGTATAGTGAGCCTTAGCTACAAACGTGATGGTTATTGCCTATTGGCCATCTTAAACTAACATGTAAGGATGGGGACGAAGTGTCTCAAGAGAAGGATTGTTTGCTAGTTGTGGCTTGCAAAATGCATTGCGTGACTTCGTGTAATTAGCATAAAAGATAAGTGTAGATAAGTTCAAAGTGTTAAAGAGCATGTTTGACAACTTATATATTTATCCTTACTAGGTGAAATGCATGTGCACTGTACGTGGTCAAATATCTAAATTATTTATTTTAAGTTTATTTATTCACTATAACATGTTTGCAAAAAAACGTTTATGATTGTCGTAATATATTAAACAATTTTGGATATTTTCATGCATAATATTTTGTTGGTTTTAACATTTTGCCTTCCACAGAAAAAAGTCTTAAAATATTAATGACTTAAGAGTAATTTAATAATTTAAAAAATATTAATAATGTAAGGGACAAATATAAAAAACTATTATTATTAATGATAAAAATAAATTCTTGAATTCATCAAAGTAAAATGGTAGGTTTTATCTGGTCATATAGGATTTTGTTTAACTATAAAGAAATCACTTTCACCTGTTGTTTACTTCCACTTGTTGTTTATCCGACGACCAAGTATTATAGATATTCAAAAACTTTTTTCTAGAATCTTATTCGTCAGAATGTGCAAATTCAATCAATAAAAAACATAAATTATATGATCAATTTCAAAATCAGATATGTAGTCTTTCTACATCTTCCCAACTAATTAATTGATTTGTCAAAACGATTACTCTCTAGTTTCATAAAATTATAAAATATAATATGAGAATGATTTATAATTATTATGCACTATGGATTGTATTTTAACAAATAATTCAAATTTATCCAATGTCAAACAATATTCAAAAATTTAGGTTGAGAGTTATAAGAATCCATTATCCGCAACAATACTCATACCAAATTAAGCTACGTGCTTCATAAACTTATAAGAAGGTGTGAACTATAAAAATGAACAATTTAATTTATTTTGTCCAATAGTTTATTACAAATCATGAAAGACAAGGTGAATCAGAAGGATTACATACCCTTCACAAATAAAGATTAAATTTCTCTTAGAGATTCTTATAGCAAAAGATTTTCAGAGTTGATGTATAGGATAATTTTAAGATACATAACCCAAATCAGTTCATAGAGTGATATACTTGACATAAAAATTACTTTTATAAGATTGAAGTCACATGTGCCTTAAGTTACGTTTTAAGTTAATTTTAGAAAACTCCCTCTTAGCTATGGGGGTCAATGTCAAAAAAAACCCCCTCAACTTTATTTTTGGATATGAGGGAAGCCTAGTAAGGCAGAAGGATCCCCAGCCAAGACCTGAGTTCGAGCCCCCCACATTAACAAGTAAACCATGGGTGAACTGGGTCCCCTACCATATCTAGTCTCCAAGTTAGTAGGACACTAAAGGGACATGAGTGACAAACCTCGAATTCAGGCATTTGGCCACGAAAATTGTTAACTTGAAACTAAGTAAATCTTCGTCAAAATTAGGGTGTTGTAGATAACCTTTCTCAACTTCAATTCTTTAATTTAATCCTATAAAATTTTCTCACTTAACTGCTCAGAACTAATATCATTGAGTTTAATCTATTATATGACAAGTATTTAATTTGGAAAGTCCAAAATATCCCTCAACCATAAAAGAATTAGCTTAGTTTTTGCTAGATTAAAGAAAAAGAGGAGATATAGAAGAAAAAAGAATTATAAATTGGTCGTGATCCTTTTATTATAGGTTGAGAGTTTTTAACTAAAATAGCTTTCTTCAATATGGTATTTTCTCCAAATCACATATTCAAGTAACCGCATTAAGGGGTTTTGTTGAGAGAAGTGTAAAAGATCAGAGAAGTGTTTATGAGTTACGCCATAGTCAAGAGGTTTTTTCCTAAATCGTACCAAAGTTAAGAGGGGCTATCTATAACACCCTTATAGTTAGGATGTTTTGCCAAATTAAATCAATTGAGTGGGTTTTTTGAAACAATCCCCATAGCTGAGAGAGTTTTCAAAAAAATAATTTTTTTAAAATTTGGCTTGTTCACATTTTTGTCCCTCAAAATTTTAATAACTCGATATTAGTCCCTTAAATTATAAGCAATTTTAAAATTTTGAGGGAATAATATAGAATTATTGGAGATCTAAAATCAAGGAACTTATATTTAAATTATCTTTAAATATTGCTCTTATAGGCAATGTATTAAAATATCGGTCGATATATCGCTATATTAGCCGATATATCAGGTTAAAGACCTTACTTGATAATATTTATGGTTCTGTATTGTTTTCTTTTATTTAGGGATTTTTTTTTCTAATATATTGATGGTTATAAAAATGTTAACCGATACATCCCTTTCAAGATATCGACAAAATAGAGTCATTTTTAATTTGATTATGGGCTAGGGTTTGGTCATGTTTGGGAACCAAAAGCGAAACCCACGAAAGCAACAAAAGTCACAATTCGTCTTCCAAATCTCTTCACTCTCAGCTATTCCACATTTTAAGCATATATTTTCATACAAATTCTTATATTTAAAATTCATTAATATATTAGATTATAGCTTACAATGCTATATTATGTATGAATATTATCTCATATGACACCTGATATTTTTTACGTATCGCCGATTTCTGCAAAATGATATCATAGATTTTAGTTGTCATATGACACCTGATA